AAAAAAAACTTTTTTTGTTCGGAAAACCGCGGAATTTCGTTCCGTCAAGCCCCCCATACAAGCGCCGCCCGGGGCAGACCGCCCCTTCTTGGCCCTCCTTTTGGACCGCCACTGCCGGACCTCTAGCCTGTAGTTGCTTCGTGGCCTATTCGGGGAGCAAAGCTTTTGAACTTTGGCGCCTCACTGATTGTCAGCTGAGCGCTCATGTACCCCGCGGGCATCGGAGGGACTACGGATCGTCGCGAGCTCGAATCGGATGCTGCAGAGGACAATCGTCAGGGAAATTTCCCCGGCGTGGAGGTAGGAAGATCCGTCAAGACGAATGCCGGTGAGGGATGCGGAAGTTGTCTCCGTGGGAATTCGCCCCTCTGTCGCTTCGATGATCGCTATCGATAGATCTTGCACGAAAGCACATGGACTCATCTAATGATGGAATATTTTTCGAAGGTATGAGCCGAATAAACATTGAGGCTCTAGCCAGTAGTATGATCGCGAAAGGGTATCCTGATCTCGCGAGCGTCCTGCGTGATTCTTTCGGTAACGCTCGATCAAAGGCGGAGAGCCCACCGATATCCGATGACGACGTGAGCGCAGCGATTGATGTGGAAACGCTGAGGCAGTCTGTCGAGCGGGAGTATACGCACAGGTCAGGGATGCACGTCGGGAGGAACGATCTTTGAGGCTGACATTCTCCCCTTCCGGGAAATCCAGAGTAATTACTCGAGAGCGAAAACATTCTTCTCGCTGTTCATCAGGGTCGACTCCCTTGAGATGACCTACGAGGGACCTGCTCCGGATATGACCGACGACTCTCGAACCGTGAAGACGCTCTTGGAACTCCAGGATGCGCTCGACTCCTGCCAACACTGTGTGCAGAGTCTGCGTGAATTATTCAGCGTGGGTAAATCAACGGTGTCTGCGAGGTGAGCAAAACGAATCCTTGTGGAGATCGCATTTCGAAATCGCCCCCTCAAAAGTCGATCTGCCCACTGATCTCGATTACATTACAGCTGTTTGGACAACATGATCTCAAATCTAAGAGCGCTCTCCCTTCGAGAGACGCTAGAGACCCTGATGGGCGCCATACGGCTCGAAATCAGTGGATCGCAAATATTGGAAATCTATAAGAGTGCCCAGGTAAATCGGTAGTTGCCTGAATTTAAACCAGATTCGGCCGACGAAAGTCTACTTCTACGTGGAAACGAGCCCGTGCATCAAAACTGTCCATCTTTGATCAAGCCCCTCCCTTCGCAGGACCTCCAACTCTCAGGAGTGTTGTATGAGACGATGCTGGAGAAAACTTGTCTCTATGCGACGTTCATACCCGATCACTGCTCGACGTTACCATTCGATCTCCTGCTGAAGCTATTGAGAGACGATGAACTCAACGTCTCCAGTGAGGACGATGTTTTGGATCTCGTTGAAAAGGTGGAGCCTCCCGATACAACTTGCGGACGTGAACGGAGAATTGCTGCGAGCGAAACCCTCAAACGATTTTTTTTTCTAGAGCAAGTCTCGAGATGCACGGGAGCTCAATGAATTGATCTCGTGTATCCGTTTCCCATTCCTGACTTGTTCGGCCTTCGATGCTCTGATTGAACGTTTCCCGGAAGCTTCTCGTTCCCAGGGATATCAGATTTGCAAGAAATCAATTGATTGGCTGAAGGACATGCCGAAGGAGCAACTCACCCGAAGGAGGTCAAGCTCCTCTTTCTGTCTCGCGACGTGACATACATCAGTCGAATTCCCCGAAGGCTGCGAGAATTAGCGAAATCAATTTGAGCCCCGCTGATTTATTACTTCTTGCAGACACTATGTCAGCCATCTGCACCTTCTGCTGCACGAAGATTCCATAGGCGACTCCGAATGGGAAAAACTCGCGGTGTCGTGTTTATGGGGGAGTGAGGCGACCGACGCTGTATCGTCGACTCTTAAAGGAGAGCCCCAGAGTGTAGTTGAAGCCCGGAGCCGATGTGTAGTGCTCCCGCAGAAAGTGAGGCTGAGGGAAAATTTCAACAGAACAAAGGGGGAGACATTGGGAGATCGGATGTGGTTCTGAGAATAGACGCGTTCTTCCCAGGTTGTGGTCGGTGCGAGCTCGGGGAGCGAATTGTGGGCATGGATCATCGATACATCCTCGGGCTCTAGTTTGGCATCGCCTTCAGAGAAGCATATCCATCCGGACTTGACCGGAGCTGAGTTCGTGGATGCTTCCGAAACTGACGAAGGCCAGGTCCTCGTCTCGTGGCGAAGAACTTCGGACGATTCATACCATTTGGGGGTTTTGAGCTCCATTGACAAGATGGAGCCCAGCTGTGAGGAGGTATACATCTTACGGCTCGGAAATGGACAATCGACGAGTGGACTTCTCTGGAGCATTCAAGGATGCGGAGAATTATAGCATGACGATCTTACCCAGCTCCAAGCACCTTCCCGAATTCTTTTTCATCTCCAGATTGATTTGCCTCCGACGGTTGGAGGTCTTCGAAGTACATTGTACGGAGATCTCGTGATTATACTGAGCAAGACGCAACTAATTCTCTTCGATAGAGCGACGCAAGTGAAGTCGGTCTACGATTCGCCTGCGAGGTCTTCGTCTAGTTTCTTAGACTTGATCGTGATCTCTACCGACTCGAAGAAACGCATCTACGTTTTCGATCGTAGGACTGTGATCGGCAGCGAGCCCCCTGAGCTACCTCACGTGGATCTGCTTCTCGTGTTCGATTTGGATCGCTTGGAATGGGAAAGAGGTTTGTCTGAGGAACCAACATTCATTCATCTCGAATGTCGGAGAATATTTCGCATTCGCGGTCTCATTAGTCATTTCCTCCAAAGACTCATGGACGCTAGAATTGGAACAAGGTGGCAGATCGTGCATTCTACCATCTAACGGGCTGGCGCTCTTCGAGTATCGCGGTAACGTTGGGATTCTTGCTGAATTGACCGAAGGATGTGGTATCCGAAACAAGATTATTTTGGTACATGACAGCGACAGGGATCAATTCACCGAGGATGTGGCCGATATTCCGGCCGTCACAGGTAACCGTCGCTCCCGTTGTCGTCAACTAACAGTACAGTGTTTCCGAAATCTAATCCAATGATCGCCACGGGGAAGCTTCGCAACTTCGGACCAGTTCCATTGCCCTCCTAAATCACGGTGTCGATTCCAGATGAAGGACTTGGCCTGCGAGAGGTTCTAGGTCTGATTCCGACAGACATGAACCCGTGTGCCCACGAAAGTGTTTTCAGCCGATATTGCCGCACAAATTCAAGCTCACAACAATTGAGAGAACTGAGGAAACTAGCTGAATAAATTTGAGAACGGCCGAATTCCGCCTCGACATCGCACGCCCCGACAGGCCCACGCATGCGTTGCAAAGTTAGACTTGATTCTCGAATACTTAGGGCCTCGGAGATAATCGTGGGAACTTGCTTCCCATGTCCGACTGGCATCACTATGTTTCTGTTTTTGTCATTGGGTGAAAACTGGCCTGAAACAGTCAAAGGAGAGCAAAGTCGTGTTCTGAAAGGGCACGGAACCCCATGTCAGAAAACACCGGGTAGACTTTCTTCACGCTGAACCCATAACGCGGGATTTGGGGTATCCTTGGTGAGTCTTGTCTGGCCGGACGACATCGGAATGTTTTGAGATCTTGACTGCTGAATCCGAACCTCCTGAAGCTCTCGGACGTGGAATCCGAGAATTTTAGTGTCGGTGTATCGGGAGCCGGAAGCACCGTCTTCATTCCGTCTATGGATACTACCACAGCACAAGCCCCAGGACAATGAGGATGAATGAGCACAGCCGAACCGACGATCACTATTCAAAAATTAAAGAGGTTCACAGAAGAATTAACAAGCGGGAAGAGAGAGACAGAAGTCTTTATTTTATTGCGAAATCTCGACTAATATTAGATTAGCTCCATCCTCCGCGGCGTGTGATCATTGACGAGGCTTTAATAGTCAAGCCTCATTTCTCAGAAATATCGCCGATGATAAATATAATTGGTCTATGCGTACGTTACAAAGCTGCGTCATATAATCTCATTCTAAAACTGTGCATCACTCCATCCTCGAATATGACTTCTCTCTGCCATAGGATCGATTCATCGCGAACCAAGCGGACATTCCAGGTTCGTTCCGAGTTGCTCTAGCCGATGAGCGAAATCCTCCCGTGTGTAGCACGTTTTCTCACGCTGACTCCGAACGTTCGGTCGGCAGTATAAGGTGTAAATATGAAGAAGTACTCTCCTTCGTATCTCAAAGTCACAATTGGGGCTTAACACTTATGTACAGATCACCAGTAGCTCACTCACCACGGAGGCCACGCAGACATGAATCAATCCCCGCCATCGGAGCATCAATCAAGAGATATGCGAGAGCAATGGTGCCCGAACCAGCGGCCCGCAGGCCAAATTCGGCCCAAAGCATTTTTTCCTTCCAGTGTATTGTCACGCGAGCTTACCGACGCTTCGTTTCACGGGCGTGACGAAGGCGACTCAAATCGTGTTCGGTGAAGAAGAGCATCGCAGAAACAGAATCAGCCACTGATCATTCAGCGGGAACCTCATCGAGTAGCTGTTGTAGCGCCTGTTCTTGACTGATTGCCGCCAGTTCCTTGACAAACTCATCGAAGACGATCATGCTCAAGACGGCTGTCATTTGATTTCTATGGACAGCGGAGTTTTGACTGCTCTCCGATGAGACATCACGCTCTGGAGGTGGTTTGGCGATATATCGATATCCTCCGTTGTCTGCTATGGGTTGTAAGACGCCGAACTTCCTGAAGAAAATTCCTAAACTCCTGCGTCTCTGCGTCTGAGCTGGCACTGGACGCTCGACGGTGACTTGTTTGTCTTTCGACACGCTCGATTTCAATGATGAAGGCTGCGTGATGTGCTGCTCTCGGGCAGCGAAAAATTCTCTCGCTTGCTGCATGAGCGCTGAGGAATTCCCTAGCTGAAGGATCATGTGATCCAGTTTGTGCCTCAAGGTGCACAAAATCTGAAATTGATGGGACATCTTACTGGCGATTCCGAGAGAGATTTGATCAGAAGCCGAGCCAGTGGCTTTGCTGGATGCTCTCGACGCATCAGGTCAATATCGTCTGCGGATAATGACCTGGTATAGACTCCGTATGCTGGGCTGAAAGACGATTTCCTGCGACAACAAGAAACTCCGCAGCAGTGGTTGAGGATACAAGGCCAAGCGAGCAACGAGTGATGTCAATTGAAGGTTGGTGTAGACATCGTTGATTGGCAGCATTTCCAGCCTCACCAGAATTTGTGTCAGGAATGGCCCGATGTCAGCGGAAAAGTCCTGTAAGACGCTGAGATTCGGTTTCTGCATCGAAATACTTTCGTGCATCTAGAGGTAGTCAGTATCAGAGGTAAGGATAAGATAGGTTTCAGCTCACCCTCTGGTCATTGACGAAGATCCCGGAATCCTCCCGTTCCTCTGTGAGGAGCTTCAAATCGCCGTTACCGTTCGGATGAAGATTGTTGACCGGGTTGTCTTTCCGCTGAGACTCGTTCCGACTCCCGTCGTAGCTGCGTGACCAAACTTGACAAGCATCACGACATGCTCGAACACCTTCGGAAAAATTCAAGAATAATTCCCCTCCTCGAGTTCTAAGGCCAACGCGGGATGATGGAGCGAGCATGCAAGAGCGAGGATACCGATTCCGAGATCAGGCGCGGGACATGAGACAGGAGCGCGGATTCTTCGGAGCTATCGGCATGGCGAGCCTTCTCGATGTGAAAAACGAAAATATCCCGACGAAGGCTACCCACCGTTTTTCGCGTCCAGGATATAAGCTAGGTATTGAATCTGATCGTTCGGAGAAATTTGAGAGCTCAAATTTTCATTGAAGCTCTGACTCTGTTTGACCCCTGCGCCGGGCTGATTCGATGTGGTCAGTGACAACAATCGTTGGGAAGTCACACAGAAGGTGTCAACATCGCGAATGCGGTCCCGGTGCGCCAACATGATATGTGAGCAAGGCAACAAGTATCTGAAATTGAGAGTGAAGACTGCTATCTTCATCAGTCCAACAAGCATTCGTCACAAGCATCACGATCGACCGCACTCACTTGAAGACAAGCTCGTACATGACTTCCTCACAGTTGAAGTCTACAAGTGTTTTGAAGAAAGAAATCGTGACCAGCGATAATTTCGAATGAGCTCCGATTCTCAACATGAGGATATCTATGAGCAGGCGACGCTCGCATGTTGTCGTCATAAGGAAGTGTAGAAACACCCGAACTAGCCGAGGCTCGGTCACTTTTCGGAGGAATAATTCGAGATATCTGCAATTCGGAGAAATGGAATCAATTCATAGACAATTTGATCCTCGCTTAACGGAAGTCGTCTTCTTTGAACTCACACTGTCGTCGTGACTATTTCGTCGGTATTACTTTGGTACAACGCTGGCGCCATCACAGGGATGAGGAAGCCATGTAATAAATAATCCAACAGCTGGTCCCGCACAAGGGGATGCGAGACTTGAGTCACGGCGTTACAAAACTCCAATGAATTCAAAAATGATGCTAATTCTGGGATCTCGTGGATGTCTTCATCGGTCAATCGGAACCAATCCTCGCTCTGGGCACCCAGCTTGCGCGGCAAGACAGAATACAAGCCGCTCAGACCTACAAATCGATGAAGGAGAACGAAATCAGGGCTTGTTGACCGTATAAGTACCGTATACCTTGTGCAACTTAGGCGGGCATTCTCTTTGGGAAGGGCGCCTCAAGGACCACCGGGGAATACACGAGCACCCTATCGTATGCTCCACTATAGGAGAGCTTTCGGTCCTCGACGAATTCAAAAATGCACGAAGACCCTCGATCAGTAGGGCAGCCTCCGATTGACGAACCAGATTTGGAGGGATGGGGAAATACATCAACGGGCATGTCCGTCTAAGACAGTGGATACGGCATACCCGATATTCAGCGGGACGAAGCGAGCGTACAGAATACAGATCACATCATCTAACCGCCACAAGTATTCGTATCTGGATGGTATCGCTCACCAGTGGCCAGAACAGGACAGAAAGTTGAATGATTGGCCATATAGCGTCCGAGCTCGTCCATTCGCGCGTGATTCTTCGCGGCTAAACACATACAGAGAAGGATGGCGTCCCTCGCTTGATGTCCAAGGCAGCCTTCCCGATGAACGAACCTAAGGATCGATAGCGAGCACATTGACGATCTCTTCAAGCATTTTCGGTCCATCATGTCCGAGTCGGATTTCCCGGCTCGATTCGAGTTCGCGACATGAATGGAGAATACTCACGGTATGAGCAAGGAAAAGACTACGAAGTCCGGGGGATCATCCTTCTGATTGAAGAAAATTTGGAGTAAATCTGAGTTTTGAGAGAGCGTCACGCACAATGTATTCAAAAGAGCAACGAGCCGACGCTCGAGTTCCTCGGGACATTCCGTCTGGCAAATCGAAAGCAGTTTCTGTAGCGGACTCAGGAAACCTTTCTGGTATAGAAGCCGTTGCGAACAATTCGACGTGAGGATCTGGAGAACCGAGAAACAATATCAAGAATAAATACGAGTATTCCCGGCTAGGACCTCGTGGGGAAATCGCATTCGGAAGCTCTCCGAAGAAAACCTATCCAGTTGCTCACCTCATAGATCCTCAGCTGCTCTTCCAAGAGTCTCAATGTGAATTCAGATGTTTGCAGACTCCACTCGAGAATCTTCTCGAGAACGTCGTTGTCCAGAATATAATCCAGAATCGGCGATATAGCATACGAATTCAATGAAGGAACTGGTGACGGCGTCGAGGACATCGACGATAAAGTCGAAGCCGTCGAGGGAGGACCCGTGAATGACTTAGCCGCGGATTCTTCGAGGATATAGTTGACCATCTGCTCCAGGTGATTGAGGATAGCCGCAACGTCATCTTGTCGGACCGCGAAACTGTAACAGAGATTGATATTAGCAGCAGAACTTGGTCAGCCCGGATTGCGATCCCACGGACGGTCGACGTCGTAGAGATCCTTACAAAGACCACTCTTACGGGTTTCTATCTGAGCATGATTGAAGAGTGCGGAAACCGAATGCTTACTTTATCGTAAGGTCCCATTTCTGAATGAGGGCGTTCGCCTGGGAGCAGTGCTCTCGGAAAGCCTCAAGAAGAGTCTTAGGATCTGCATTCTTGAGGATAGCGGCAGGTCTCCTCAGACGGAAGGAGCCCTGTTTCCTCAGCCAGCTCATCACTCCGAAATCTTGTCCGAGGCTATCTCATCGCATGTCTGTGAAATGTAGGCGCTCATTACTTTTCACAGTCGCCGTTACGAGTGTCGCGATCCATAGTTGCGGAAAAACGTATACAATCATCATTGACTCGGGGCGCGCTCTCTGTGACCGCCTGGGACATCATAGAGATCTCTTCTGCTCAGCTGACTGAGTGGCTGAACACGCGAGGTGAAGTACCACGCCATGGCAAGGGCAAGCTCGGTCTCTCACGTCACCGGTAAGCTGTCAAAACATAGAGAAAGCGCCGCGTTTCGATCGAAGAAAATTCGATTTCAACGAAATCGATGTCTCCGAGCAGCGTTGCCATTCGGTGGGAGATCCGTCTTCTGCGGGAGAAGTCATCGATTGAGCGAGTCTCGATCCCTCGTGTATGATCTCGAGTGATGAATACTTCCGGGCTTCCAGCCGAAAACACTGTGCGGATCTCGGAGGTCTTAGTCTCATTGGCTCCGATAGAAGAACGCAAGCGTCATACCGCCGCAGATTGAGCGAGGCTTGCATCAGATCGGCTGCTGTCTCCGTCGATAGATGCCAAGATATTACTTGAACCCTGATGATCGTAACGCGCGATTCCCGCCCGTTCGAGGCTCGGAGCAGGTATTCGCGTGTGAAGCGGATAGGCTGCGCACACTCGACCGATGTTCCCGGCGTTCTTTGAATTTGCCTTTGAATCAGTGACTTGACGCGGTCGGACAATTAGCCAATCAAGAACGCGCCGAATATGAACTGGCGGAGTTTTCCTGGCTTGCTTGTTTCTACGGAGTGGAAAAGAGGTCCCTCCTTCCGAGGCTTTGGAGGCAGGTGTCTCCGATGCCAATACGAACCATATGTTCTTGACAGGGATGACTGAGGACGAAGATGCGAGACCACGAATTTCTCTTCACGCAGCTATCCCGAAGCGAGGCACCGGTCTGAAGTCCGAACCGGAAGCCCGCGACATATGCGAGCACCTCAGTGTTCGCGATCCCTCGGACCTTGCTTTTCAGGCTGTTCTCCATCTGCCTGTCATGTCAGTTCGAAGACGAAAGCGATATGCAAAGACGTCTCGTGGGGCCGCGACACCAGACTTCTGTGTGTAGCCCCCAAGTTGGGGATTCGGTCTTGCGATGATCACGCTGCGCCGGCGCACATGATGAGGGAAGAAGATCTAGGTCCCCACCCCCCGGAGAGCGACGCAGACTGAGGAGAGTGCCGTGTCCACCGTTCACAGAGAAACTTTTACTTACTCCGGAATGGAACCTCGATCTACGGAAGTCAAGATCGAACACTGCGAGAAGAATTCATGCCGGCACACCTCAATCACCACTTTTGTGCGTTGAGACCTGAGGGAGCTTCCACCGCTCGCAGTAATTTTAGGAATCGCAAGCAGCTGGAGATGCCAATCGTGAGAATGACGAATAATAACACCGATCTCAGTCAGCTCTCAGCTCATCATCCCACCATAATCACAACAACAACAACCACAGACGATTTTCTGACTGTCGGCTGGCTGCCGCTGACGGTTGCTGATCTCATTATGTAGTGCGCTTTTCCGCTCGACGATACGGAAGTGCCCAGGAAGATAAGAGAAGCGCTTCTAAGCTATGCGTTCCTCAGGATCGACGGAGGATGCATACGACCATTCCATGGAAAATGGAGTATATCCCAGATAGCTCACCCGGATATCGGGAATCCGCCGATTCGCGCCGGCCGCCGGGTCTCGGTCGGACCCGGCTCCGCAAGAGGCAAGAGAGACGGCCATATTGGCAGAGGGCGCTGATAGCCTGCAGGCTGCAGGGCGCGGCATTCGGAACTCCGAGAACTCTTGTCGGATTTTATCGGACTCCTATCCTAAGTACTCGGAGCCCGACAAGAATCCACTGCGGAATCCTCGAGATGAGAAACCTAGAAATTCTCGGCGCTCTATCTGCAGTACATGGAGCCGAACGAGAACCGAATCGGTGAATCGTCGGGTTGGAAAAATCGAAAGTTATCGGAATTCTACGCACAGAACAGGGCCCTAGAGAGGGCAAAATTCGATTAGGTACCCAGAAATCATCGGAGTTTGGTTTACGGGGCACAGAGCCCTCACCAGAATCGGGTTCAAGAATCTTAAGGATGAGGAGCCCGTGAGCTATCGGGGCACTTCTCTTAGAGCCCGGAGCCCGAAATCTTCTCTTCTGCCGTGAGAGCACGAGCTCCCTTGAGATACGGAAATTCCGAAAATTTCGAGCCCGTCTAAGACCCTCGGAAGAGCAGCGGTGGCGGCCTCTTTCAGGTCGAGAGGATGCTCTTTGCTTCCTGATCTCGTGCCGATTCGACTTGAACGACCCCCGCCCTCCAGCAGGAATCTCTTCTTTCTATCCATTGCGGGACGCGAGGTCGTTCAAGAGCCCGATGCCAGCGGGGTCCCCACCGACCGTATGGTAGTCCACGTATTGACGTATGAAATCATGTGAAGCCATCGACGTTTAGGTCGCTATTATTGAGGGGTTGCGCCTGCACCTCAATCGCACAGAAGCTTTCGAAGCGCCCGTCGGACTCAACGGTCAGCCTAACGGAGCATACTTTCCTGAATTGAAAAATCTTGACTCGGCTGCTCAATTTTTTTCCGGAGAGACTCTCGTTTCCACCCGATCCGAATCCACTTGAATGGAATGCTTTCGTTCCTATTGCTTGACCGATATATGTAACCAGGGACCACCCATACAGATGAGCTGCCGTCTCTTCGACTCCATTCCCCACGAATCGAGACTTGGAGGGTACCAAAGAATTAAAGTCTTTCCCGAGCGTGTCTTCGACTTCTTGATGTTGCCCACCAGATGGTGCAAGCCTTCGGAACTCAGCCCACCACATAATTTTAGGAATTCCGGGTATTTTACGGTGAACGAGCTTGCGTGCGCTTCTTATTCGAATAAAGTCGCTAGCATATGGATCGGTTCTTGTCCCCGGGAGGGACTTCCCCTCAGCTATTCCCCCCCAAGCATCGAGAGCATAACTCTTGGCGGTCGTGCCTGACTTGCGACTAGTCCGAGCGGAGCTCGATCGTCGCTTAGTGACAGCGCAAGCTTTTGGAGCTGCTCTTTCTTTCCAGCAGCTGACTGTTCCGATATTTGTTCTCCGCCTCGGACGAGTTCCCAAAATCCTGTCCCAAGTAAGAAAAATTCCCATCCACTTTCTCGATGGGGCCGGAGCTCGGATGCAAAGCGAACGAATCCACCGGGCTCGACGATGCTGAGAGACAATGGCTCGGTAGCAAGCGTCGCACAGCACCTCTGGGAAGGACTTCATCCTCTGTGTGTGTGGACGGGGCTCAGACTTAGGCCCCAGCTCGATGGGCTTAGGCCCCCAGACTTAGGAACGTACTCGATGAGCTGTCGCGCGGAGTTTTTCAGTGTCCCTCGAAATTCAGAGCCGCTTCAGTTGGACACATCCGCGCGGATGTTCCTCCGCCCACGGAGTCGCCGCTGCGGAGTCCTCCTCGTCTCGACTAGGCAATTAGGGAATCTGTAGGCTGCTATAGAGATCGATTGTGAAGGCACGTTTGAACTTGATCAGCGAAGGTGGACGGAAGATCAAAACTCACTCACGCGGTTTTATTGCTCCCGAAGTCTATGATAGTAGCTTCATGTAAGAAAAATATTTCTCGGTGTTGACAAACGCGAATTTTTGCAGAAACACTACTCCTTGTTCGGATCTCTTCAACCCATTCTCAGAGCACCGTCGACTCTGACAACTTCTCCGTTCATGAGAGGGTTCTCTATGATAGTTTGCACCACATGGGCGAGTTCATCCGGGTTGCCAAGACGCTTCGGGAACGGGATAGTTTGAGCCAGGAAGACTCTGACCTTCTCCGGGAGAGACGCCAGCAAGGGTGTGTCGAAGAGACCCGGAGCAACGGTACAGACTCGGATACCCTGAAATCCACGTAGATCATGAGCTATGACTCCTCATCACTCAAGAGCATGCCCGGGCGAAATCGAGTCTTTGAGTCGAGAAGGGCTTCTATTGACGTTTGTTCCTCACCAGGCCTGACAGATCTCTCGCTAGTGGGAGAGTCATGCTGACGATGGCACCCTTGGACGCCGCGTAAGCCACTTGTCCCATCTGACCCTCGTACGCAGCTATGGAAGCCGTGTTGACGATGACGCCACGCTGACCATTATCGTCGGGCTCGTTGGCGTTCATCAAGCCCACGGCGAGTCGACAGACATTGAAGGTACCCACGGTATTCACGCTCAACACCTGAGAAAATTCCTTCGTCAGAGGCTCATATTGGGAAGCAGATTCCATACTGAATGCTCGTGGGGTAGGGGGGGGGGGCTAGCCGATGATTGCAGCTTGTCTCAGCAAAAGATCTCCGCGACTTTTTAGTAGTCGATGTTATACGCACACGTTCGAAGTCTTCCAGGAGATGTGGCTTATTCTTCGAGGCGCTGAAGGTGAGGAAAGCGACGCCGACGCCGGCGCAATTGACCGTCACGTCCAGTCGGTCAAACTTGGACTTGATCGCAGCGAGGGCTGATTCGACATCGGTCGCCGATGTCACCTGGATCCATGAAAGAAAACATGCTATGGCGGTATCGAACACCCATCGGTTGTGCGTGTCGCGACAATAACATGAATCAGTGAATGAGAAGGATACTATCGGTTCAGTTTTCCAATGATTTTTCTGTAAATGAATGGCTCACGTTTGTGGGGGCGAACATGCATGCTGGTCCCAGTTCCTTGGCGACGGCTTCGCCTTGTGATGTGGGCAAGTCGAGAATGGCGACCTTGGCTCCTTGATTGACGAGTCTAGTCGCTGCCGCCTTTCCTAGACCGGACCCTCCACCCGTGACCAATGCCACCAGACCCTGGAAAATAAGGATTCATGATGAGTTCATCGATCTTCTCCTTTAAGGGGGAGGGCAGGCGGCTAGTTTCCGGGAAGAACTACCCTGGTTTTTGGAAGCTGATCGATACGTTAACGGCAACCTTCGAGACGGAGGTTGCGGAGACAAATGCTCATTCGGGGTCTCTGAATCTCCGGGCGACGCCGAAGGTAGGACGATCGCCCCCCTGTGCGAAGCGTCACACATCATTCCGCGCTGCAGCGGCCATCTCGGCATCTCGCGTCTGAAGAGCATATCATGAATCATGATTGAGATTCTCCTTAAGAGAAATCCTCCCCGCTTCTGAGCCAGGTACAGACCACGCATCACAATCCCTCGAGCACGTGCCTTGGGCCATTGAATTCCCTTCCATTCACGTGGCCGAGTTGAACGAGTTCAGAACTCGCGGATATGACAAGATCGAATATTTTCGTTCCCGGGTTCCGTGTGTGCGAGATCTAGACCACGATGAATCTAACGATGCTTCCGAATCTGCCTGATTCTCTCGGGAGGAGCAGCGAAAAATTGACGTCGGGTTGCGCGCAGCCAAGGTCGAACTCCACCCTTGTCAGGAGTCGAAATCTTGCGCCGAGAAGTATCTCCATACCCCCGCACGCTAGCGATTCGCGGCCGAAAAGAAGTTCTCACGATTCTATCCCTCCGGGAACTTCTCGGAGGTGGACTCGCGGGCGCAAGTAGTCGATCGGCTAACGATCCCGTACTTAATGAAATCCGGCCGGGCGTACTTATCTCGGCGAATAGTCTGCTGAAGGTCATCACATACTTAGCTAGCTAGAGGATATGCTTCCAAACATACGTCGAAAAGAATGCTTCCGGGCGGTGCTTCTTCACCATCGGACAGGAGCCATTGCTAGACAACCCACAGAGGGTGGAGCCGCTGCCGTGTTCGGTTAAGAATCCAAACCTGAGCTCTGCAGGCTCCCATTGCAATGCTCTCTGATCCATCTTCTTAATCGCATCTCCATTCGTCGATGTTTCCAGGACGGAATCACACCAGTCCAGTCTCTCTGCCGCTTTATGTTTTCAATGCCGATGGACGGGGCTGGTGCCCATGGCGAGCCACGGAATGAGGGCATTCGCGAGACCCACCCCAGCCAGGGAAACCCAGCTTGGATCAAGCTTTAATTCCCCGGGAGGTCACCAGGATCTGTGGCATCTCTCGCCGCGATTCGTTGGACCACCAAAGATCATTTTCCCGTGGAGCAGATGTTTTTTCGGGAAACCTCGAGCAGCACTCGCTCTCGATAAGTTCATCAAGACAAAATCTCAGGAAGTTGACTGACAGAGTCAATCCGGGCTCAAGACCGCATTCTCTCAATGTGAGCGGCAGCATATTCTGTCGTTGGCTTCGGGTTCGCATGAATTCTAGGCTCTTCGAAACTCTGTTTCTCGTGTGATACGGCGCGGGTAGCGACCGGGAGATAATCTTCAAAAGATAAAGCTCGCCTCCGCTAGCCATTTACTACGATTCCGAGAGCGGTACATCAGGGAATTCCTCGGTCTTGTGCCCCGTCAGTGAACGAGGAGGCAGTTTTTCAAGACCCCTCGAACATCTCTGTCTCACCAACAGAAAGAAAAACATTCACGAGAGCATAACCTCGTAGGACTCTCGGATAGCGAGCCACGGGACACTACATTGCTTCCAGCGAACGCTCTCATCGCGGAGGATTCTCTTCTTGAGGATGGTCATACCTTTACCGACCGAACTTTAGACATGATTCGGGATTTCGTCGATTTTCTTCGATTCTCCTCTTGTAGGCAACACGCGCATTCAATCGGAGCTGTGAGCAGGCCGCCGGGCGAAAAAACCCTCCCCCTCTGTGATGCTCTCTCCCCTTCTCCGGAGAGGTAGAGGCAGTTTTCGACACGCGGATTCAATCCCACGGAACTACGGCGGTGGAATCGTCATCATACAGAGCTCGGAAGCCGGTAAGCTCGAAACTCTTCCGAAGACCGGAATCTCGATTAATATTAGATGATTTCGCTTCGCGACGGGAGACGCCGCGCGTCTGCGCGTTCGCCTATAATACAAACGATATAGGCGCGCGGATGGCAGACGCTTTCGAAATAGTGCCGAACAGCTGACGACGGGTGCGGCGGCGGCGAGCGAGCGAGGGCTGGGTCGCCATCTTGTCGACTCCCAGACAACAACGACAAGCAGTGCTGTGTCCGTCTGGCTGCTTCCTCTACTGCTGCCGCTGCCGTCATACGTCGACGGCGACCGGGAACGACAGACAGAGAGAGGAGCTTCCGATCCGGTGATCGATCCGTGAATCGGGCGGACATGTGGTACTGTGAATCGATGCATCCCTTGCACGACTGAGCTCAAGTGAACATAATGCTGAGGTTTCGGTTCTTGTCGAGCGGTTCAGCTGTCGTGATATAGTGAGCTCGGCCCTCAACACTAAACGAGGGTGTTGGCCGACGGTGGCAGAAAGAAGCCAGCTTGCCTGCTCATCTGCGTGCCTGCTTTGCTGGCTGACGGAAAGACGGTCGGACGGACGGACGGACGGACGTACTGATTCGTTGAGGTGAGCCTAAGTGCCCTTTGGCCAGTCCGCTCACCAAGCGAGCGAGCGACGAGTCGACCAGCCAGCCTGACAAGCGCTCCACTAACGGCGGCAGTCGGGCTCCTCGACTACTCAATCAGTCAGTCAGCTGTGAAAGATGTCTTCGCCTACAGTTGGTTTCGGAACCAAGTTCGCAGATCGGATGGAAGTACAATGTGCTCTCTTGGCGAGGAGCAAGAATTTGACTTTGACACTAGCGCCAGGCTACCAGGGCATCCCGGAAAACTTGCTCATGAACGTAGTAGCCTGGATATGTCTGATCGTAATCTACTCGGTCGTGAATCGAACAGCGAAGAACTATGCGCGTATGGCTTTGGTACATCGATCTGAACGATGGTCCGATGTGTTCTACGGTCAACAGTATCAACATCAACAGCAGCAGCAGCAGCAACATCCACAGAACGGCTCTGTTCATCATCAATTAAATCAGAGCTCCCCGCAACGTAATCGATCCGGGGTCAGCAATCATAGAACTCAGCCGCCTGTCGACGATGACGGGAGTCTGGAATCGCTCGAGAACGCCAATCGTGATACGTCTTTCTTCTCGTGGATATACGCGATCTGGAAAATCGAGGATCGACACGTTCTCAAGAAAAACGGACCAGATGCCGTGCAATATCTGACCTTCCAGAGGCACATCATCGTGTTTGTCTTCATCGTGTGTATTTGTGTGACGACTATCGTGCTGCCGCTCAACGCGCTCGGAGTCGAGTCTCAGAAGAACAACAAATTCGCACAGACAACCATCGCCAACATCTCGAAGGACTCCAAAAGCCTCTGGATACACATTGCGCTATCGTTCATATTCTTGCCACTTGGCGTGATTTTCATGCGTCGTTTCTCTACCAGACTCCATATACATGCCGAAGAGCCGCGTATCGGCCGGACTCTTATGATCGCCGGTGTACCTCGCCGGCACTGTAAAGCTGAGCTATTCCGTCAGCATTTCGCTGAAGCTTACCCTCAGTGTATAATCCAAGATATACAATTCGCGTACGACATCCGGAAATTGATGGACATGGTGGCTCAACGTGAAACGGCGACACAGGCGCGTCTGTGGTGCGAGAACCGGATCAACAACACGCGCGAACGACCTACAATGCGTCCGTATACCTGTGGCAGATGCTGCTGTCTCGGCGATTATCTCGGCTGCGAACAGGTAGACGCGCTCGACTACTATAGAGTCGAGGAGCAGTCGCTCCTCAAACGGGTGGACGAAGAGCGCCGGCGAGCCTTGAAAAATCCTGTTGGCTTCGCGTTCATCACATTCGACTCGGAAGAAATGGCCATGCTGGTCTGCAAGGACCACAAATCCCAATGGCAATGCTACGTTCCCGGTCAGAGTCAGAGCAGCATAACCCGAGAGCTGAAGCCCTATCTATGGAAGGTGGTGTTCGCTCCGCCGCCGAGCGATCTCTTCTGGGAGAACTTGTCCGTCGGGAAGTACGCTTGGTACATGCGATCGGTGTTCATCAACTTCCTACTGTTCATCGTACTATTCTTCCTGACGACCCCGTTCATCATTCTCTCGTCGCTCTCGCCGATCATCAATATACAGATAGGATTACATCCGTTCTTCGAGAAGTTCTTGCCCACGGTCATGCTATGGTGCGTGGCGGCTCTTATGCCGGCCATGGTGACGTTGTCGGATCTCTTCATAGCGCATTGGAGTCGATCGTCGAGAAATCATTCTGTAATGAAGAAAGTTTTTGTCTTTCTGCTATTCATGGTCCTCATACTTCCGTCGTTGGGCTTGTCGAGCGCTGAGAGTTTCGTCGGCCGTCTGATGCAAACGCGGAACGCTACCGAAGTTTGGAAGTGCCTTTACTTACCGGACAGTGGGGCGTTTTTTGTTAATTATGTGATCACATCTTCGTTCGTCGGAACCACTATGGAACTTATACGATTTCCACAGCTGTGCCTCTACATGATCTACACGTGTTTATCGAGATCTAAGGCGGAACAGTACGCAGTTCAGCGGAACTCGTTGTTCGAGTTCTATTTTGGAGTCCACTACGCTTGGTATCTCCTGATGTTCGCTATCATCATGGTGTACTCGATCCCATGTCCCTTGGTCACTCCCTTCGGTGTCTTGTACCTCTGCTTCAAGCACTACGTAGACAAGTACAACATTTACTTCGTGTACAATCCGTCGAAGACCAACAAGTACATTCATGCAACGGCCATCGACTTTGTGATCATTTCACTGATATTGTTACAGTTTGCTCTGTTCATGTACCTCTACTTCAAATCGGATGCCAGCATGTACACCGTGGTCATGTGTGTCATCTTCATGATGTCGTTCTGCTTGTTCATCGGCCAGGCCATGATCAAGTGTTTCCGCGATTTTGGCGCTATCAAGTACGTTCGCCAGCTGCAGAAGACTCTCGAGCGGCGTAGATCTCGGGAATCGGGTTTGCGAATACGCGACAATCCCTATATCCCCGATGCCTTGAAGCATCGTCCGATCCCGAATCTGAACCAGTCGCAATCGGCTGGAAACCTGCCTCTGTTCGGATCAGGGAGCAATGCGACCGGCAACAACGACGTTCGCGCTCCCCTCCCTCCTACTAACGGCGGCTTGGCGAACGGCTCCGCTGGCGGAGCCCTCAGTGGATCTCCTCTAGAAGCTCCTCGAAGCCACTCGATGAATGACCTTCTATCGGCCGGTTCCGAAAGAGCGGAATTCTCTTTGGCTTGCGAGGACGTGGCGATGACAACCGAAGATGAGTGTGCGTCCACCGAAGCCGAGGACGACGAAATGCGTCGAGTTGTTCTCGCAGCCAACGGACATGTTAATCACTATCAGCGTTTCTGACAAATGAAAAAGTTCTCGATGGGATAGAGCTACGCCACGGGGCTCCCCGAGCCCGTGCCAGTTTGAAAGATGGCTTGCACGAACATGCAAACGAATGCATTGCTCATCATCGGGGATTAGCAGCTGCAGAAGCAGCCTTAACGACAGAATTAGCGGTTCACCATGCGGTCGACGACCAGTGCCAGCGCCCCGAGGTCGTTATCTGAAGTTATTCCTCACGATGATGATGATCATGATGATCTGTCGATATATTCACCGATCGACAGATTCTCGTTCTACCATTGATCAGTCCTCGGACCATTGGAACCATGACAAGCATTTCAGCGACCAGCGAAAGAAATTTCTGACCTTCCTCTAAGGCGCCAAGAGTTCCGAAACCTCGAGAAAAAACTCTCAGAGCCTCTGAGAGCCCGACTCGATCGGTGAGTCGCCCATAGCATGACAGCACTGACACAAATACTCCTTTCTCGAGTTGGAAGAGAATGCAATAACATGACGGCGTCAAGTTCAATGTTAATCGAATCGATGATGATCGCGAACACGATCGCGCTGATCGTGATCATGGTGATATCATGTTCAGACTAGAAGCAAGCAGTGTTACCCCACAAGTATGAATGTATATACTCAGGCAGGAGCTAAGATAAGACGCGATGTACTGATTCTTGGACAATGAGAATCGGCCTATAGGATTCGGTAAGGCATCGGATCGGAAGGAGCTGTTGGTTCATTTGTGGATGCCGGTTGTTCCGAAGCCAGTCTCGAAGATCTCCATCGTCAACATACTCTCCTTGACACAGAGCCCAAGATTCCCGGTGTCTCAAGTCGACACCCGACCTAACATGCTCGGAGGGCAAGCGGAATGTCAAGGAAGGAGAAAAGCGAAGCAATCTGTGACTCCGCGGATATTCGTTAGGAGTTGGTGCACCTAGGCTCCGGACCGATAGTGAATGCCTCCAAACAACCCAACGAAGTGAGAACCTCGTATAAGGCCGCCAACTATGACGACGGCCACAAGAGGGAAAGAGTGAATTGAACAATGCTAGTAGCTTTACGAGAATTTTCAACTCTCCATCGGTGTCCGAGCTCCGAAGCATGGGCAAATGATGAGAAAACTTCACAGATATTGATTTTTAAAGTTATGAGAAAGTACACGCGAGGGAGAGAAGGTAACGATCCCTGTAATGAAATGAGGATTTTAGGTTTTTTCAATTGCAACCAAACGCCGAATGCTGCGCGGAAAATATGTATTTCGGGCTCAGACCGGTCGATCCCAGGTGGAACCTTCGATAAATAAGAAGATACAGATAATATAAACCACCATAGGGTCGAGCCTCGTACTATCGGGTGATAGCGATTGATCATCTGTCATTGAAGACGATGATGTCACGAACGTCCCAGTGGGACAATTTGCAGGGAGTCAAGGGATTAGTTCTCTAAAATCATAGATTTTTGATCGAGAGGTACTCCGCCAAGCCTTTCGAACCACCAAGGAATACCATCGGGTAGCGGATTCGACGGGGAAACAATTTCAAACCGACCTGAATGCGCTCCGATTCATTCTAGAAACGCACGAAAGCCGTGAGAAATTGAAGGTGCAGGGCGAAGGGGACCGACCGTGAATTAAGTCAAAGGGGGTATAAATGAAATGTTCAATCTCTATATATGTATAATATCAATTGTTCATTACTGATATTTATTATTATTATTGATGAATTTTTATTTTGTGTGTATATTGTAAAGTCACTGGATGGAGTTGAAAGGCAGACCAACCGATTTTAGCGGGTCCGAATTCACCAGAGAACATGGATTGTATAAGCTCAGTCGTTTGTATGCAGAAGTTCAGTTTTCTTTCCAATCCGATAGCTGAGGTTGAAATGCACTTTTTGGACAGATGGGAGTGATATATTTCAAGAGGGAACTAGGCTTGGTTCTATTCTAAGAATTCGATATTGGCTTTCTCTCCGACTCCACACTGAGACCCAGTGCTGCGGCGCGGCGCAATATTGGTCGTGTGAGTGTCAAAGAGGCTGTAGCGCGCATGAGCAGCACCACAGTGAATCGTTACTATGTCATGTCAGCGGGTGTGATGTAATATCTACGAAAGCAGAAAGTCGCAAGTTGAATAAATTAGTTTTTTTGAGTCTATCCGCTCTCATCATTCACGCTCGATGCGCCTCCAGACTTTCGCGATTTGAGGAAGAGGAGGAGCTTCGAAAGATTTTCCATTCTACTTTGGGAAGTCTTCTCTTGGACGGTATCGAAACAAAGACAAACGGCATGGAAAGTCATTGATGGATTGCATGAGTGAGGTATCCACCCACGGCAACGGCGTGATGAGACGCAAGCATGGAGAATTTCCCATCCTTCTCACCGAGATTCAATTCCATGCTGCTCTCGCAGAGGAGCACGAGTATCGCAAGCCTCTACCGCAAGAACTTTCAGTCAGTTAGCGCTGCGGGCTGCGGAATGGAAATCAAAGCTTGGTCTTCCGTAGCCCATAAATTGTATCTCGGAGGCATCTAGAGACTATCTTCGTGTATCAGGAGAAGTCGGCTTCGCGCGCTCACAGGGAGCCCGACTTCGTCTCGGAGTAAATTCGGTCCATTTGAATGATATCCTCACGCTCACGCTAGTTATCCCTGGAACTTTAGTCTGCGGGAGATCGAGGCGAGAATGACGGCCGTCAGTCGACCGGACTTCCTCTCGTCCAAGCCGGAATTCGTCGAGCCTTCCTTCCATAGCCCATTCCTTGCGTCTGACATCCCGAAACCGGCATAGCGGAGAACTGAGGCGGGAGAATTTCAGTTTTGTTACAGAAATCACGATCCATCTCCATAGGAGCGGAAGCCACAAGGAAAGGTCGCGAAGAGGGTGGTTCGTACAATGAGCTTCTATCGTCTCCAGCGCGTGCTTTTGCTCTCCTTCGGTTCTGGGATCGACGCGACGCGACGTCGATCGCTTTAGTCTGTGAGAGAGCACCGCGCGCTCTCTGATTGTGGAGAGTCTGGTCGAGTTCCCGTGTCAGTTTATTTTTCAGACGGGGCTCATCAATCTACGTGATGTCTTGCACAATAGAGAACTCTATCCACTGACCAAATGCCCAACCCTGTGCCCCCAGCCCCGATCCAAGGGCTGGAGTGATTTGCAACCTGCGCATATCCGGAGCCTGGTATAGTCAGAGAGGCGAGCGATAGGTCGCCACAGTGATGCCGCGTGGGAGGACTGCTGAACGACATAGGTGTCGGCGCTAGCTCACGAATCGTCTGGAAGCGGAAAGTCAACATATACACTAGATTCTAAACGTCCCGAATGCCATTTCGTTTGTTCCTGGATGAGAGCGCTGCTTGTTGATGTATTTTTGAAAGTCACTCTACTCCCGTCAATGTAAACGAAACCTCATGAAGCTGGGATCGATACGCCCAAAATGGCTCATCGGATCGATTCAGCAGCACGACCTTCCCAAGCGAATCTCGAAAGGATTACGCAAAGAATGTTTTCGAAAACCGCCCTCTGTAACCAGTTGAGAGCTATTTTCGTGTCCAGCTCTCCGAAAATAAATAATTCTTATCGCAGGACCGCTCTGTTATTGTAACTCGAGGAGCTTCCGGATGAGTCATTGAGCTCGCGCTTGAGAACATGCGAGTAATACGCGAATCAGATGTCTGATTTCGGGCGCCCACGAATCAATTCACGCGAGATGTTAATGAGGACAACGGTAGAGAACGAGCCTGAATGAAGAGCTTATGGATTCTGAGGGTATATATTCGCTCTGTCAGAAATCGAGCGAATAGCCAAAGACAGCCGCTACGTAGGCTCGTCAGAGTGGGTACTTGAGCGGGTCGGTAGCAGCAAATCAGGTCGGATACACAATACAAGGCAGACTGTACAACAGATGATTCGGACAGACTTGATACTCGTCTGTCCTCCAGTCATCAACGAAAGCTGGAATTCGGAGCTTCGATCATGAATCATGACGCACGTACTGGCGAGAACATCGGCTCTAGACTTAGCTAATTTCTGACTCTTTCCTTAGTCGGTAAATCGCTTGGCTAGAAAACAGGTGCTCGATGGTCGAAAGTCGAATTAAATGTTCACCACTCCATGGACAAGATCGCTTTTCGAGCGATCCAGGAGATGGGGTCTACGCGGCAATCATGGAATGAAGTTCGACATTCCATGGGTGCACATTATTTACCGAAATCACTTCTGACGCCAGAGATCGGAATGAGATTGATCGGATGAGGATGCTACTTCAAGGCTCGTGGGTGAATTTCGCCGATCGAGCCCGTCACGAATCGTGGCTTACGATTCGGAGGACATATACGAGGGCTCCCAAGTATCTCCCCCTCTTCGACACCAGGGACCTGGGGAGCGACAGTACGCTGTTTCGACGTCCGAATTGCGAGGAAATTCGTCATCAGTCATGACAGGTCCGTGGAGGATGATTCTGACCTTTATCGTTGAAGGGTACTGAGAACAACGTGGACTGCTGTGGGTAACTTCGTCAGCAACTTCTCATTAGTGAAGCGCTAACGCTTAACTTTATTGGACTTTCATAGAAGCCTGATCGACTTAAGGTAGAAGGTTCTACTACGAACAAGCATCCCTACATCTCCCCGCTCACGTAGAAGCCGATCAGGCTTCTATGAAAGTCCAATAAAGTTAAGCGTTAGCGCTTCACTAATGAGAAGTTGCTGACGAAGTTACCCACAGCAGTCCACGTTGTTCTCAGTACCCTTCAATTGGCGCAGTCGCTGTGATTTTCTCAGGAAAAAAAGACATCTGCCGTGTAGTTCGACGTAATGGAAGCTGCACTCGCACAGATTGCTGAAGCTTTGAAGCTCCTCCAGGCGAAGACAGAAGCGAAGCCCATCGAAGATCGTGTAGTCGCTCTCAACAACGTGCTCTCTTTGATCGGAACGTTCAATTACGAGCCTGGGAATGGTCAGACGTTTAATCGCTGGTTCAAACGCAACGAGCCATATCTCTCCTCACATTGCAACTCCGACGATGAGCGTCGCCAGCTCATACTCAAAGCTTTAGGCCCCCGAGAATACAACCAACTGCGTGGCAGAACTTCCCCTGAGCAGCCCGAAAGCAAGTCCTACGGAGACCTTTGTTAGAATCCATGTTCGGAGAGTCAAAATCGCTCTTTCGTCGTCGGCACGACACCCTTCTGGTCGTGCGACACGCACCAGGCAAATTGGTTGAAGAAATCGTCAATTCGACTAAGCTGAGTGGCGATGATTTTGAGTTCAGTAAACTAACGCTGCAGAACTTCAACATATTCATCATGCTTCTCCAACTTTCTGATCCTTCGTATAAGAGCCTGAGAGGCGTGATCATGAGATCCGTCGACGAAAAGCCGGACATCACCCTCGAGGAGCTTCGTACGGTCATGAGGCGTTTCGAGACTAGAACCGTAGACACTGTAGTGGACAGCGACGCACAGAAAACGGTGAAGGATGAACCTGTGGTTTTCGCAGCCAAAGCAGGGTTCAGTGGAAAGAAACGAGCGAATCCGAAATCTGACTCGGCGAAGCCTCCGAAAAGACCACACGCTTGCCCGGGTTGCGGGGGTGACCATTTCCGAAAAGATTGCAAGTTCAGAGAGGCGAAGTGCAATACGTGTAGGAAAGTCGGTCACCTGGCTAAAGTTTGTCGGTCTGCCCAGACCAACAGTGTCCAAGTCAATCAAATGTTGAACAGAGCCAAGCTTGACGAGGGCCGAACCTTCGTGACGCTGAGCGTCAATGGCAAGAAGGTGACATTTCGCGCCGACTCCGGAGCAGATATCTCGACGATGAATCACGACACTTGGAATGGTCTGGGAGCCCCCAGACTGGCCGTCTACGACTCTCAATGCACACACGTGGATGGTGGAAGCATAAGGTCCAGAGGGTTCTTCAACGCACGCTTTCAATTCAACGATAAGTCGCTTGTAGAGCCCGTCCTCGTCCTCGAAAGCGGGAAAGCCAATCTCCTGTGCGGCCGGTTGCTGAAGCAGCTCGGTATCGTTTCCTGGAAGTTGCAGCCGGAAGTCCAAATCAATGGGATCAGCACGAGTTCACTGACGTCGCGATTCCCGAATCTCTTTGAAACTGGGCTGGGCACATGCACGAAATTAGAAGTTCATCTGCAACTGGCCCCAAACGCCGTGCCGGTTCATCTTCGACCGCGGCCTGTCGCATTCGCACTGCAGGAATCAATCGACAAAGAGCTGGACAGACTGGTCCAGAACGGAACTCTGATCCCTGTGGATTCGTCTGATTGGGCTACTCCCATTGTAGTCGTAAAGAAACCAAATGGAGCAGTCAGAGTTTGCGCAGATTACTCAACTGGGCTGAATGATGCGCTCGTAGACATCGAACACCCGCTCCCGAACATGGAAGAGGTGATGACGAAATTTTCCGGAAACAAAATTTTCGCACACCTCGATTTGGCGGATGCATACTTACAGCTACGTCTGGACACTCCGAGTCAGCAGCTGACGACGATCACGACTCATCGAGGCCTCTTCAGATATACAAGGCTTGTGTTTGGCCTCAAAACAGCACCGGCCATATTCCAAAAAACCATCGATCAGGCACTCGCTGGCCTGGATGGCGTCCTGGTATATCTAGACGATATCCTGATCATGGCCCCGAATTATAAGCTCTATGAACAGCGTCTGGTCGACGTGCTGCGACGGCTTGAAGATTGGGGGTTCCGGCTACGGATTGAAAAATGCTTCTTCAACGTCCCTACGGTGAAATATCTCGGAATGGTTATATCCGACAAAGGCATTGAGGCTGATCCGGCCAGGATCGCCGTGATCAAGAACCTGAGGAAGCCGGCGAATCAAAAAGAAGTTCGTGCACTTCTAGGTCTGGTGAACTACTACGGCAAGTTCGTGAAAAACCTGCATCGTTTCAAAACTCCATTGGAGGCATTGCTCGCGAAAGACGCTCGGTTTGAGTGGGGCGTGCAGCATGACGCCGCTCTCACTGGCATCAAGGACATGCTATGTGGTCCTTTGCTCCTGTCGCATTATGATCCCCGACAAACGCTCGTGGTGGCCGCGGACGCCAGCCAAACTGGTATTGGTGGCGTTCTACTACAGCGTTACGCGGACGGAAACGAGCGCGCGGTATTCCACATGAGTAAATCTCTCAGCAAGTCCCAACGGAACTATAGCCAGGTGGAAAAGGAAGCTTTTGCGCTGGTGACGGCCGTAGAGAGATTCAAGAAATTTGTTTGGGGGAGACGTTTCATTCTTCAGACAGATCATCGGCCTCTTCTAGCTTTGTTCCGAACGTCAAACACCAAAGGATTGCAGGAGCGCACCGCAGCAAGGCTCAAACGTTGGGCTCTTCGGTTGGTCGGATTCGATTTCGAAATCGAGTACATCAGAACTGAGGAGTTCGGTCAAGCCGACGCACTATCGCGGCTTATTGCTGAAGCCCGAGACTCAACCACGGACTCGGAGCTAGAAGAGGTTGTCGCCAACTTGGATCAATCCGTGGAGACTGAACTCGAAGCTCACATCCTTGCTCTCAACACGGAAGAGTCCAGACACCGACTTGGCAGGGAAACCGAGCTCGATCCGATACTGAGCAAAGTTATCCGGAGGCTTTCACACGGCTGGGCTGAGGCGGACAGAAAAGATCCACATCTCCGTCCTTTCTTGAATGCTGCCGACTCCCTGTGCCTTTCAAAGAATATTTTGCTCTTGAATGAACGTGTGGTTGTTCCGAAAGCAATGCAGCCGACAGTTCTTGAGCAGCTACATCTGGGTCATCCAGGAATTCGCCGCATGAAGAGCCTGGCCAGACTGCACTTCTATTGGCCCGCGATGGCAAGTGACGTCGAGCACGTGGTCAGGAGTTGCTCACTGTGCATTGACTCAGCCGCGAATCCCGTAAGAGTTCCGTTGGCTCCGTGGCCAAACACCGACAAAGTTTGGTCCCGCATCCATATCGATTTTGGAGAGCCAAAAAGGGGGAAGACTTTCGTTGTGGTTGTGGACAGTTTCTCAAAGTACGTAGATGCTCAGTGGCTACCCGCGTTGACAGCTGCAGGTCTCATCTCGTATTTAAGACAGTTGTTCCGCCATTTTGGGCCACCAGACACAATTGTCTCAGACAACGGCGCGCAATTCACGTCTCAAGAATTCGCCCAGTTTTGCTCTGACCTAAACATCATCCACCTACGCTGCGCGCCAAGAATGCCCATGTCGAATGGTCTGGCAGAACGCATGGTGCGAACGATTAAGTCATCTCTCGACGCGTCCGCGGGGTCACTCGACAGCGTAATCTCGGCGTACAACTACACTCCGAACGCGACGATCAATGACGATACTCCAGCAAGGAAATTTTTTGGCGTGATATCAAGACCCCGTTCGACATCTACAAGCCCGTGAAGGATCCGTCGCCGCATACCGCATATCAGAGATCTGTCAAGGATCAGTACGATGCTCAACATGGAACGCGCGAACGCCATTTCTCGGTGGGGGAGACGGTAACCGTACAGCTGTCTAACGGTAAGCGCGTTCCTGCCACGGTTCGGAGTTTCCGGGGGAAAGCTATGGTCGTCCTGGACTCTGACGACGGACTGCTCGTGCGGCACCGCAACCAGCTTTGGAAGAGATCGTCCGGAGGGACTCGAGCCATCCCGGCAGAGGTCCCGCCAGAGGGGAATGGATCCCTTTCGAGAGAAAACGACGACTTGGAAGAATTCTTCGGGTGT